TCTCTGACAGGCGACTCTGCTCCTTGGATGCTCCCCTGCTGAGTAGCTGGGGTGTGGGACTCCCCGCCTGGACCCCGGTTTCTCTATCTCTGACCCTCAGTGGCTGGATGAGATGGTCCCTCCCCAGCCCCAGCTGCCAGGCCAGCCTGACCTTCAATGCCCGGCTGTCATGACCCTCATCAGTTACCCCTCATTCCACTCGCTGCTGTGGCCACGACCTGACCATCAAAGCTGCCTCCAGCCAGAGCCCCAGAGCAGCTGGCGGCGCCCCCCCCCGCCCCCTCCACCTCAGCTATTTTTGAGCTCAGTGTGGCTGTGGGGTTGTGTTTTGGAAGAAAATTATCTGTTTGGCTGAATCAGCCAAATGGCAGGGCCGGGGATGCGAGTTCATGGAGATACAGTGAAAACACTGTGTGGTCCCACACGGGTCTGCTGCCCACCTGCACACCCGGGGGTGCACGTGGGATCCGGTCCATGTGGAACCTGAGGCCACACTGTCCCACGGTCTTCCTACCCATAGCCTGCCTGCCAGATCATCAGGCAGTTCCCATCTGTGGTCTGGCAAGGACCTGGAAGGACAGGGGCCACCACTCTGGGAGCCCTGCGCAGAAAGTGACTGAGTGCTCAGAGCAGGTGGATGGTGCTCAGACAGGCCCTGGGCTCCCCCATCTCCCACCTGGCTTATACCCCCGACACCCCTGCCAAGCAGCCCAGGCCCTGCTCACATACCGGCGAGGGTGAGGCCCTGCTCACATACCGGCGAGGGTGAGCCCCAGGCCAGGTGCTCGCTCAGACCCTGGGACAGGAACCCTGCGTCCTTGTACCCCTCCACCCCCACCCCCCGCCCCAGATACCACCACAAGCCCCGCCTCCACATTTCACTCAAGATGTTCTCCCAGCCTCGCACGCCCTTCACTTGTGTGAGGTATTAGGGTCTCTTTAAGAAAACAAATGCAAAATTACAAGTCCAAGATTAGGTACAAAAGTACCTCATTTGTTTAGAATGAGGACACGAACAAAACAAGCGACAAGTTCACAAAAGGTAACAAGTAGCACTCAATATCAAACCCAGGAAAAATCCCCTCCCCGGTCAGAAGCTGTGCCTGTGTCAGGCGGGGGCTGGTGAAAGAAGCAGCGGGCGTTAACCAGGCCCTTGGGGAAACTGAGGCTGGGGTGTGGGGAGGGCATGGGGAAGGGGTGAGGGTGGGCCCAGGAAGGGGTGGGCTGCCTGTTCAGCTCCATCCCAAACCTGCACCAGGTGGCCCAGCCACAGGGGACTGGCCACCACTTTGGTGTCCTCCCCTCTTCCCCCACCATGGGCCCTGCTGGGAGGGGGCCTCCCCCACCAGGGAATGCAGGCGTCAGCACTTCAGACTCTGTCTAACCGCCATCCCCACCCCCTGCCTCCCACCCTTCCCCTCCAGATGTGGGCACAGCTGTATTTTTAGAACAGCCAACCCCGAGGACATTCTTTGCTTCTAATTAAGATGGCTTTAAATCTCCTGTCCGCAATCAGCTCCACTGTTCAGTCCTCAAATATCAAAGGGTGGCCAGGAGGGGCTGCTCGGCTGGTTGTTGCTTGGGGTTTCTTCTTTCTTTCTTAGTTTTGAATCGTTAAGTTGGAAATGTGACCCAGAACTGGAGTGGATGCCAGCTCTGAGGAGGAGGGAGAAGCTGGATTTGGGGTAGATCCTGCAGGGGCTGCCCCTAGGCCTTGCCCTCCACACTCAGTCAGGCTGCAGCCCCTCATGTTCACCTACCCACAGGCAGGGTCTGTCTGGAGATCAAGAGAGGGCACAGTACCTGCCCTTAGGATGCTCAGTGCAGGCAGTCAACAGACACACCTGGGGCCTGAGGGTGCAGCGCCTGTGCAGGGGGCAGGTCAGTCGTCATGATGTCCCCATTTAACAGGTAAGCAAATGGAGCCTGGAGAGAGGAAGTACATGTTGGGACTGCAGGTACCCCATTGGTATCAGCTGCAGCCAGGCCTGTGGCCGGCCTGCTGTGCTTGGTGATGGCTCACTGCCCACCCTGACAGCCTGGTGCCCAAGGTCAGCTGGCCTCTGAACTCCAGCCAGTGCCTCCTTGGGAGGCTCCTGGTGTAGAGTAGAGTTGCCAGTCCAAGTGGGAGGAACAGGGAAGGCCTTGAACTGAAGGGCCCCAGCCCTTCCTGGAAAGCACAGCTGACAGATGAGGACGCTGAGGTCAGAGGGGAGGCAGTCGGGTCAAAGCAGGTCAGTCCACCCACCACCCACCCGGTGATGGATGCCCAGCTGATGGGCTGAAGGAGAGACCGGGGACCATCGGGGCCAGCCTGAGCCCAGGCTCCAGGGGTTAGGCCACCATCCAGACTCCTGTCCCACCCTTCATGGAGCAGAGAGGGGAGGCACACAGCGAGGCAGAGGCAGGGTGGGCTGGGTGTCAGACCGCCGAACTCCCGACCAAGGCCCTACCCCCCCTCGCCCCCCGGCCCCCGGCGGGGCGCGGTCTGGGCGCGCAGGACTAAGGAAACGAAATCACCTGGGGCTCGTGGAACAGGGGACGCCCGGGATCGGCCAGGACTCGGCGCCCAGGGGCCGTGGGGGCAGCTCCCCCTGGAGTTCCCCGCACCTGGCGGGGCCCTGGCTCAGGCCTCTTGGTTTCCCTGCCACCGCGGAGCCCCGAGAGGTCTGACGACCCGCCGCGCCAACTCCCGAAGCGCGGGCTTTGTCGCCCCCTCGCGGCCGGAGCCGGTCTCGGCAGCGGGGACGGATCCCGGCAACTGGCGGGGGCGGCCTGGGAGGGCTAAATGGGGTCTGGAGGCCTAATCCGGGAGGCCTAATCCGGGAGGCCTAATCCAGGGGTCAGCGGAGTCCCCGGGCCCGGGTAACAGTGGAGGCACCTTCTGGAGCGGGCTCGGGTCGACGAGGCGGCCTCGCCGCTTCTGCGGGGGTAGGAGCAGCCGGGGGCTCGGTGGAGCGCAGACCCGGTGGAGCCCTCCAGCCAGCTTTGCGGTATCGATTACCTTCGGTGCGAGCCGCAGTGTTCCCTGCCTCCCGCTGAGTGCCGGGGTGGATCCCCCTACTCCCCCTCGCCGCCAGCTCTGGGCCTCAGTTTCCCCATCTGCAGAGTGACAGGCTCCGGAGTGTAGGAGGGAGCGTGGGTCGTGGCTCCCATGGCGGGGGAGGGGCGTCACCACCCACGTTGGCCTCCCTCCCGGAGCTCCTGAGCACCGGTGACTGAAAGCAGGCCACCCCTCCTCCCTTGACCCTGTTGCAGGAAAAATAGACATGAGAATTTTCTGATAAACAAGGAAAATAAGGAAACAATGAACAGGCTGGGGAAACAATATAAACAGGCCTGAAAGAGTTAAGTAATCTTGGTTATTCTTTAGCTATTACTACTAACAAACACTTGTAGCTAGACTTGTCCTTCACAAAGCTGATTACTCTCTGACTCCGTACAAATTACCCTTTGCACCTGGCCTTTCTTCTCCCCCTACACTCCCTTGTAGCACTCTTCATTTCAGAAAGAAGGTCACCAGCCGATAACTTCAGGGACACCAGACCTGGTTGCTGAGCCGCCTGATGCCAGCTTTGGCCATGAATTTGCAGAAGAAAAGAAATGCAAGGCCTTCACTACTTTTGATCCTTATCATATACCCCGGACTGCGAGCCCCACATATAAAATCTTCTCCGGTTCCCCAAGGAGGGGGACACAGTTCTTGAGGCACTAGCCTACTGTTTTCCCCTCTTGCCTGGCAAAAGGAATAAAGCTACTCTGTTCTATTTCCTCCAAACTCTGTCTCCTTATTTCTATTCGGCATCAGTGGACAGGGAGCCAAGATTTGATAACACCCCCACCTCTGCCTTCTCACCAGGGAAACCAAGACTGGGTGGGAATCCGAGACTGGGTGGGAATCCACGCGGGAAGCTCCCCGGAGGAGGAGTCGGCACGCGTGGAGGTTGTCTTTCCACGTCCCCTGACTCAGGCGTGGTTTGACAGCCCCATCCCGTAGGGTCTGCGCTGGACTTGGAGATCTGAAAGCCCAGCCCCGACTTCCAGCAGGGCTGCAGGGGTGCTGCGGACACAGACTCCACCTTGTGGAGTCTCAGGGACGTTGAGAGGATTAGCCATCAGCACTGGGCAGCCACAAACACTCACAACCTTGACTGTCACACACTCAAGGTTAAACTCCTGATTAATGTTTGCCAAAGAGAAACCTCAAGCTCCCTTGCTTAAGGATAATAATTAGTGGCTGGGGAGCCCACGCATTGGGGGGCTGACTCCAGCGAGGTGTCCATGGAGGGGGGGCGGCAGGGAGGGAGCGAAGAGGGTATTATCACAGCAGTGGATCATCTCAATAGATGCAGAGATGCAGAAAGGCATGCACTTAGCAACTGCTAATATTTTATTTATTGTGTTGATATTTTTCCTTAAAAAATGCATGATGTTTTTTAGAAACTTTTACAAGTTCAGGGCAGCAAAAATAAAACAGTATCCCTTCTGGTGTATGTCCTATCACAGTCTTTGCTCAGATGACTTCCTAGGGTCACTTTCAGGTCTATGTTTCTATGACCAAAAATAGCATCTTTGGCAACTGGTTTCGATTTGGCCTTAATCCAACTCCTGGATTCATGAAGGACCTGAGAAGCCCTGAGAAATAAAAGATTAATCCTGCCCAGTGGACCCGGTGGTTCCTCATCTCACAAGGTCCACTGGGCCGGACTAATCTTGTCGCATAGGCCGGGCTGGCCTCTCACGGAGTGGATCCCCGGGCTGCAACCCGAGACTGGGTCTCCCACCCGCGTTCCAAGTCACTGGCTCTGCCAGGACGGACGGATGAGAGCTCTCCAGACTTGTGGGTCTGCCTTTTGGCCCTCCTAATCCTGTCCCTCCCCTGGGGGGAAAGGGCGGGGACACCTGTACTGGAGGAGAGTGGGGATGCCTGTGCAGAATCAAGGGCTCGGCCCTCATAGTGCCTGGGGACAGGGGCCTCCCGCAGGCGGGCAGGGGCGCCTGATTGGGGTGAGAGGAGGCCGGGCAGAGGGGCCGGAAGGGGCGGCGGCGGAGGTCCAAAGGGGAGCGCAGCAGTGACGGACTGAGAGTCACTCCGGAGGCGACAGTGGGGGAGGAGACGAGGGGACTAGGGCCCAGGGCCGGGATTTCGTGCGAGTCTGGAGCGCGCTGATCAGAGCCGCCGGCCACGACATGCGAAGGCGGATGCAGGGGCTGGCCGTGGTGACTTCGAACCTGAGCCCCCTTCCGGTCTGCGGAGATGGGCCACAGGCTCGGCCGAGTAAGGAGTCAGTGGCTTTTCACCTTCAGAGCTGCAGAAAGGGAGGGATGGAGGATGAACACGAGCCGCCGCTACAGCCTCGGACTCAGGTGACCCGCTCGCGGGACCCCAGCCCCCCACACCCTTTACGCCCTGTGCGCCTGCGCACGTGTCTTGGCCGCGCGCTCTGGCTAAGGTAAGCTTTGAGCGAGTCTTCGCAAATGCCCAGTACGCATGCGCCTCCCTCTTCCACGCCGATCCGCTTTTCGCAAACGTCTGAATTCCGAGACCTGCCGGCCCAGGCTTAGCGGATGAGGGATTGCGGACTGGCGTGCACTTGGGAAGGCTCAACGAACGCGTCCAGTGTACAGAAGTATCTGAGTGTGCACAGTGGAGCTAGGTGCTCGGCCCAGACGAACAAGAGCAGGTGTTCACGCGCAGTGTTGGGCTGGGGCGCAGTGTGCGCAGTGCGCACGGGACCTGCGCACCGGCCGCGTCCCAGGCTAGCATCCCTCTGGTCCGCATATGGGCCGGACACGCCCCCAGCAGCAGCAGCCCCTGGGCACTGCAGTCCTGGCCGCCTCATCCCGTCCTGGGCCTGTTTCCCACCTTCACTTCTCTCCCCAACCTTCATCTCCTCCACGCTGGTTCTAAACTCCGTCCTCCCGTCCTGCTGCGCCGAGGGGGCGGGGCAGCGGGAAGAGCAAGCCTATAACGCTGACCACCCCGCCTCAGGGTTTACCCCGCCAACCGGCGCTGATCTGCATGGCGCTTCCCCTCACCTCCTTCAAGTCTTTGTGCGGAGGCCCCTTCTCATGGCGTATTCCCTGACCAACTTTTCCAGACACGCCCCTCTCCCCTTCGCCTTTCTGTCTACGTCGCACAGCTGACTTACTATGTATTTTCCTTGTTTATTTGTTACTGCCTGTCTTCCCCCGCTGGAATAGTCACGGATTTCGTCTCTTTTGTTCACTACTATATCCCCAGCACCTAGAACAGTAGATTTATTGCCCACAGTAGGGAGGCAAGAAATCTTTATTCACTGACTTAATTATTATTCACTGACTTAACTCACCACCATAGCTAATGTCTGAATGCTTTTCATGACCAGTCAGAGGACGAGGCAATCTCCCTGCACGATCTCATGGAATGAAGTAAGTTATGCTGTCTTGGAGACCTGCCGGCACCCCTGCCACATGGGCGCAGTTCTCATCAGGCGGTGCGTGACTTGCTGCTTCCTGCGGATCTGCTCTCTTAGCGGAACTCTCACCTCCGGGCAGCCCAGCAGGGTGCTTCCAGTGACTCCAGTGAGACTGAGACAGGACTCCTGGGTTCTCACCTGGCTTCCCCCTATGGCTTCAGGCTTGGGAGGAAGTTACTTAGACCTTGTAGGAACTTGCGGGCCCCCAGGGTGCCTGTCATAGACCTGCCTGCAGACCTGTGGCAAGATCTCTGGCAGGAACCTGCCCTCAGAGCCTCTTCCTCTACCTCCCCACCCCCAGGCCAGGTTCTCACAATACGGTGAAAGCAGGTCTGTCGTTCTCCACCCCACACCCCCGCCCCACTGTATGTGCCTCCCAGCTCAGTTCCTGGCTGGGACAGGCACTTGGTATTTGACTGATGAATGAGTAAGTAGTCTTCAGGTTCTGGAAATTCTTCAGGAAGCCTTTAGCCAAACATCCTTCTGATTTTTTTAAGTATTGAAAAAATAATAAATATGACACAGTGCTTTATATTTGAGGGACAATTTGCCCGAGCAAGAAAGGTAGTATAGAGTTACTAGGAAAAGATCAACAATTTGATTTTTGTATAGTTAACCACTTTGTGAATGTCTCAGAAAATATCTGAGGGAAGCAGTTCACTGCTCTTTGGGAGAGTGGAGAACTGTTAGCGTACACTGGATTTTCAAAAAATTTAACGAGCAGGTTATTTTGTAATTAAAAATTATAAGAGATAAATTATAAACAAGACTGAGTCCCCCGAAAAAGATACCAATCTAATGATGGGGCATCAGGGCGCTGAGCTGGGTGCCTTGGGGAGTTCTCCCTCCATCTCTAAGGGTGCTGCATGAGGATGAAAAGCTGCCCTTTGTTGTACCAGGTGTGTGTAGTGCACACACGCATTGGCTGTCCCCCAGCCTGAAGGTAGCCATTATCATCACCAGGGCCAGCGAGGAAGCCACTCAGAGAAGATGAGGGAGGGAGGGCAGAGCTGGCACTGCGACCCAGGCTGCTCTCTGCTGCTCCACGTGCCCCCCCAGGCCCCCACACGTGTAGGTCCGTGTGGCCCCTCCTCTTAGCCTCCTGGCAGAACAGGCTGGGAGGGAAGAGAGAGAGGCCCAGCCACTCTATTGAGAGAGTTTCACTGGGGCGAGTCACTGTAGCTCAGGGACTCCTGTCCTGCCAGAGGCAGAGCTTCACGCCTGTGGGGCCCCAGCTCAAGGCATTGTCCCCTGAGCCACAGCAGGCATGCCCAGGGGCAGCCCGGCAAGGAGGGCCCGGAATGGCTGTCCATCTCAGGAAAATGCTGTCAGGGGTGAAGGGGCAGTGAGATCCTGGACTCAGAGCAGAAGGCTAGGGGTGCCTCTGCTACCTGCCAGCCATATTAACTAGGCAGCTCCTCTCTGCCTCAGCTTCTTCATCTGCAAAGTGGAGCCGTCATTGCCTGGTTCAGATAGGTTGCAGTGCTGGGATTGGCGGAGGCTGTAATCAGGCACTCTGTGTCCTCTCCTCTCTCCTCAGTTCCAGGGCAGGGTCCTGCTCCTGACCATCTGTGCGGCTGGCATTGGTGGGACTTTTCAATTTGGCTACAACCTCTCCATCATCAATGCCCCGACTTCGGTATGTACCCTCCATGCGCACCGTCACCATCCCAGTGGGTGCTGGGCCAGGGCCAGCAGCTGCCTGCAGCAGATCTTCAGGCCAGCATCCACTTGGTGGCGCTTTCTCCCACATGTCCACCTCCACTGCGATGCTCCACAGGCCCTGCGGTTTCAAACCCAGCTCTGCATCCTCCCCTGAAACTGGCAAGTTCTCCTGAGTCCCTGATATCAGTAGATGACTCCACCATCCACCCAGTGACTGGGGTCCGCCCTGACTCTTCCCTCCCTCTTGGATACCAAGTCCTTCCTAACTGCCTCTGGCTTCCAGCCATTTCTCCTCGGGTCTCTTCCACAATCCCAGTTCAGACCCCGTCTCTCCTGCCTGTATCACTGGCCTCCCTGCCTTTGACCTCCCCCTTCTAGATCCTCTCAAGTTTGATCAAACCACTCCCCTGCCCAGAAACATTCTGTGGCTCCCCAGTGCCTACAGGAATAAGGACAGACTCATCCATCTGAAACCCAAGGCCTCCTGGGATCAGAACCTGTCCACCTGTCTTCCACCTTCGTTCCCCCAACTCCGCTATCAAAGCAGGTTAAACGCAGTTCCCCAAATGCACCCAGCCATTCCTTGAAGACTCCTTCTAATGGGAAGCCCTCTCTGCCCCACCTGCAAGAAGGCCTTCAAGAGCCACCCAAATGCCATCACCTCCCTGAAGCCGTCCTTTAGCAGCCCCCACAGCTGGAGTCACCCTCCCTCCCCAGCCCTTGGTCTCAGCCTCCTGCTGGTCTCCTCTCAGTGTCCAAGTCATCTTTGAGTCCCCAGCACCTGACTCTGTCCTGGTCTGTGCCGACGTTCAGTAAATGCCTGTGGAAAGGATGAATCTCTCGGCCCCATTGATAGAAGCCACCTCTATCCCACCTAAGTGAGAAGGGCAAGTGTCCTGTCACATAGCTGTGAAGGAGGTGGGGCTGCAGGAAACAGGTCCCAGGATGGAACTGGGGCTCTCCTATCCCTGCAGGGCATCATCCTCCACCCAGTGCAAGAGAGCAGCTGTCACCAGATTCACTTCCTGTCCTGGACTGGGAACCCCCAAACAGAAGTCCTCCCTGTTAGTTCCAGCAGAAAGGCTGGGGAAGAGTTTGATTGGCTGGTTTGGATCATATGCCCACTAGACCAATCATGTGGTCAGGAGGGTGGAGCACTTTGATTGGCCAGGCCTGGGTCAGGTGACCAACTGTGTAGGGGGTGTAATTGTCAAGGGGAAAGAATTTCCCTCAAAGCATGTTGGTGCTTAGAAGTTGGGGATGGGAGTACATTCTGGGCAGAAACAACTATAGCTGCCCAGTCCCTTAAAAGAGGATGAAATGAAGGGTTTAGAAAGGGGGGTCTGAGCTCCATTCGCTTTTTTATTTGTTTATTCAACAAGCATGCGAGTGTCCACTTCAGTGCAAACTTGCAGGCTGGAGAGGGATCTGTCCACAGCAGGACACTCTGAGGCCTTGCTTCCCATGGGCCATCACTGGCTCCTGCAAATGAGACTTCCTTGGCTTCTGAGGCTTCCCCTACCCCCTTGAATGGTCACCCTTGAGGATTTCAAGCCAAGGTCAGGGGAGGCTGGCCCTGGTCCCAGCTCCCCCAGACAGGTCCTTCCCCCAGAGGGACCTGGCAGGCACCAGGCTAATAGCCATTACCCTGAGCTGGCCTGCTCACCTACACCCCCTGGTCATCCTCACGTCCTCCCTCACGTCCTGTTGGGAGGACTAAGACCGGCCAGACACTGACATTCATCTCTGACCAAGGGGAGGGTATCTGGGTCTTTTGGTCAGGCGTTGCAGCAATCCTGAGGTGCCCCCAGTGAAGGAGCCCTGGGGACAAACACCCCTCCTGCCTCCTCTGTTGCTCTGCTGATGCTCACTGATGGCCACGTCCATCAGAAAGCTGGTCATGAAGGGAGCCTGCTCATGTGGCCCATGCAGGTGGCTTCCCAGGCCCAAAGTGGGGGAGGGGAGCTGATAGTGGACTCAGAGGGGCACATAGAGACTGGCCAGCTCTGAGCTCCAGGACACACTGTGTTTGAAAGAGACGGCACAGTGCCCTGCAGTTGGGTGAGTTCGGTCCTGCCCCGAAGGGACTAGGATTGCTGGGGAGACTTGCCTGCTCTGCAGAGGCAGGGCCTGTGGGGAGAAGGCCTGTTGTGGGGAGGGAGCCCCCGCCCCCGGGGGGCTGACTGGCATCTCTGTCCACAGCACATTCAAGAATTCACCAATGAGACGTGGCGGATGCGAACTGGCCAACCGCTGCCCGACCATCTGGTCCCGCTTGTGTGGTCCCTCATCGTGTCTCTGTACCCCGTGGGGGGCCTTCTGGGAGCGCTGCTTGCTGGCCCCTTGGCCATCACACTGGGGAGGTAAGTGCTTCCCGTGGACCCCCAAATGCCCTTCAATGAGGGGCACCCCGGGTGTGGGCAGGATGCCCGGCAGGCCCAGGCCTGAGTCAACTCCTCACCAGCCTCCCGCTCTGCCTGCAGTTTCACCGGGTGACTCACGTTTCCCAGCAGATGTGGCAGAGGGAAGAGTCCCATGCTAGGAGGGAGGGAGGACCCATGGCTGCCAATACAACACACGTTGTCTGACTGTGAACAGGTGTTTTCTCCCCAGTGCCCCCCTTTGTATCCAACTGATGCAGATCTTGGGTCGCAAACAAGAGAGACAGACTCTGGCAGACTCAATGGAAAACTGTGATAACGCAAAGGATACTGGGGCAGCTCATAGGACAAAAGGAAGTGGTCAAAAGCCAGGCCTGGGGAGGGCAGGATGCAAGGCCACCCTAGCCTGGGCTTTCCTCCTGGGAGATGCCTTCAGCACACCAGCTCCAGCCTTGTTCCACCTCCAGCATCTTCACTCGCTCTCAGAATCAAGGGAGACGGGTTGTTCCTGGCCCACCTTGGGTCGCACGCCTACACCCGTGAGACAGCAGAAGAGAAGCAAGGCCGGGCGGGAAAACAAGCGGCTCTCATGGTCCCCCCCTTGGCTGGCCACCCAGCACGTGTCAACACCTTTCACCCATATATTCAGCTCCCCATGTGCCCCTCCTCACGTTAGTTGGTTCAGTCCTTCCTGAGACCACTCAGGGCACTGCCTCGTCACAGCCACCAGGGACGGCACAACAGAAGTGTCCTCCCTGAGTGCAGAGTTTCCACGTGACAACCAATCTGCCAGCCCTGCCATTAATGTGTTGATATTCTGCACACCACACACTTAATGGTAAACTTAACTGCCCTCAAGACACCTCATGGGAAGAAGAAAGAAGAAAGTGTAGGGGAAACTAATCAAAGAAAAGGAAACTAGTGGATGAATTTAGTTTAAAGCGTATGATCCAGAACATGGAAACATAGGTAGAGGGTCTGCTCCTGGGTTTTGGAGCTGGTCACTCCAAAACCTGCCTCGGGAACGTCCATCCTCAGGTTTTCTGCTCCTGTCTTGTGTCAGCACTTCCACCGGCCTGAGGCTGTTTGCCCATCGGGGTGACCCCAATCTTCATGCTTGAGTGAGCAGGGCAGTCCTGATGGTGTGGGTCCTTTGGCAGGTTCTTACCCTCTGAGGTCATCTACTTCTGAATGACGGGGTTCCTAACGCGATACTGAGTTCCATGGGCACCCATCCTTCCACTTCCACTGATGTAACCTCCTTTGTTGGAAGCAAAATTGCACAGATAACATGTTTGTGTGTTTAGCAGAAGTATCAACGGCAAGTAACAGAAAACCAGGACTCAGCTGGCTAAAACAATAGCCAAACACCCCATTCTGGTGTTTATTCTCCACTAGGGCCTAGTGACCAGCCAGGAGTTATTTCTGATTAAGCGGGTAGTAATTCACTGAAGTAGTGGCTTTACTCCAAAATCCTAGGTCTTGCACTGTGATTCCCCTTGGGGGCACTTTGAGTACCACAATCTCCCAGGTCTAGAGGGTCGAGGGGCGGAGCCTCTGGCAGCTGGTTTGGACCCACTAGGGCATACTCCACTCACAGCTTCCAGGTTTGCAAATCACCCAGTGTAGGTATCAGATCACGACACTCACTGTGGGACAGGCTGCCTCCAAAGTAGAAAGAAGCCATCTGAGATTTGTCCACCCTTCTTAGAGGAAGGGCAGCAAGCCATCCCGCACTTCGGAAGAAATGTGCCCTCGGACGTCAGGAACTCCACTGGTGTGGCGGCTCCCACTCTGTCATGCTTGTACGTTACCATGACGTCGGGTGCACTTGCCGCTTCCTCTTCCCCAGGTCCTTTCAACATAAAGTCATCAAAGCAGCGGGCCAGCAAGATGCCTGAGGCTGGCAGCTCCCCATGGAGCAGGTGTGGCCCAGAGCTGGAGAGCTGCCATGTCCCTAAGGAGGTCGGTAAAGGTGCAGTACTCTCCCTGCCGGGTGGAAGTAAAGTGTTTCTGCTGTCATCTGTGTATTGAAATGCAGCAAAATGCATTCGCCAGATAAATAGCTACAATGGATGTACTGTGTTTTTTTGTTTATTTGTTTTTGGCTGCACTGCGCGGCATTGGCATGCAGAACTTCCCCAACCAGGGATTGAACCCGTGCCCCCTGCATTGGAAGCGTGGAGTCTTAACCACTGGACCACCAGGAAAGTCTTGGAAGTACTGTATTAATTTATACCAGTGAGGAAGCCGTATGTGGCTTATAATTCACAACTGGAGTTACCACAGGATCAAGTTATAATCCACTGTCATTCTCCATTCTGTAGGCCAGGGGATCTGAGCTTTGGCCCATCTTTCACCCCTGTGCTGTTGGTTTGGAGCAGGCCAGCGGCTTCCTGTGGCTCATTTCCTTGTCAGTACATGAGCCATATGACCTCCTGTGGCCTCTCTTGGGTGACCTGCATGACGGTGCCTCTGAGCGCGGTGTCAGGAGCCCAGAGCTGACGCCTCATCGTGTGGAGCTGCTGACATGCCCAGTGCCCCTTCCTGTTTTGCCGTCTGTCCCGTTGAACCAGCCTGGCAGAGACCACCCAGCCATCCTGAAGGCTCTGAACAGTGACTCTGCAATGCACTTGGCTCCCCAGGTGTCCCCTCCCTCACTCCGGAAGCCCCTGTTCTTCCTCCCCAGGGTTTCCTTGAGGCTGAGAAATCAGATGTTAGGCCCTTCGCTTTACAGAGGAGTTTGAGGAGAGCAATGCTCAATCTGTAGGGATAAAGCCATACGAGTTCTGTCACTTCAAGCCGTGGCGGAGGCAGCAAGGAGAGTAATTTGGGGCATATTGGAGGAGGGGAGTGGGAGTAGGCCCCTGGGGGCATCGCACAAGTGACCCCAGCTACAGTGGCCAGCGTCATTTCTGTTCGTGTAGCTTACACTCCTGACTCAGTCCCCTCATGCACACACAGGTCTGATCAGGGCTGGCTGCAGCTTCAGAGAAGCGTCCCCAGGGGTGGTCCTCAGGACTGAACCCACCTCTCTCGCCTGTGTTTGGCTTCCCCAAGGAAGAAGTCCCTGCTGGTGAATAACATCTTCGTGGTGGCCGCAGCGACCCTGTTTGGCTTCAGCCGCAGAGCAGACTCCTTTGAGATGATCATGCTGGGACGGCTGCTCGTGGGCGTCAGCGCAGGTACAGTGTGTGTGTGTGGGGATCCCCTCCTGCTTCTGTTCCTACTCTTTCCTGTATCCTCTTTATTCCCTTCATTCATTGATTTGTTTTCCTTTCATGCCCACCATTATTTTTTTTTTTTGCAGAATGATTAGATATGATTTATCTTAAAAGGGTCATATAACTAGGTACTTAAAGTGGATCTAGAAAAATGGAAAAGTTGTAAGGGATGGGAGGGCAAACATCCCGAAACTTAAACCAACAGAAGTCCTCTAAGCTGGGAGCTTCCTGGCAGTCAAGATGAAAAGGCATCTAGGATGGGCTCTCTGATCTTCCCTACAGAAGTAGAGTAGCCTGTTAGGGACCCCTCAGGCTCTGGGGCTTGTCACGGGAGGGAGCAGAATTTTGAGCGTGTCCACCTGGGCTTTTAGGGGTGCCCATCAACAATCCCCCTTGACTCCTACTGTTTATACAGCCAGGTGCTGATGTCTTTATTAGTTAGTTATCTATTCCTGTGAAACAAAGTACTCCACAATTTAGTGGCTTAACACCAGCAACATTTATTAACTCATGGTTTCTCTGGGTTAGGAACCAGGAGTGTCTTAGATGGGTGGTCCTGGCTTGGGGCCTCTCAGGAGGCTGTGATCAAGCTGTAAGGCAGGGCTGCAGTCACCTGAGGTTTGGCTGGGGCTGGAGGACCTGCTTCTGAGATGGCGCCCTCGTGTGCTGTTTGCAGGAGGCCTGGGCTCCTCAGCTTATGGGTCTCCCCGTAGGGCTGCTTGAGTGTTCTCACAGCATGGCGGCTGGTTTCCTCCAGAGGAAGTGATGGGAGAGAGGGAGCCCACGTGTGTGCGCAAGGACACAGTCCCAGTGCATTTTATGGCCTAATCTCAGAAGTCATACACCATCAGTTTTGCCACAGTCTACTTAGAAGTGAGTCACTCAGAACAGCCCACATTTCAGGGAAGAGAGACCAGGTCAAACTTTGTGCCCTGAGTACCTGGCACAGAAGGAGTCCCTCCCTAATTGTCTGTAGGAAGAGTGGGTGTACCTCCGTGGGAGAGCTTCTGGCAATCGGTGCACCCCCCTTCCTCCCAGCTCCCCCCATCCAGTGCTCAGAGAGAGGCAGGACCTTGTTGAGCGCTGTTTCCTGATCCCACGTCAGGGAGGGATGGAGCAGCATTCCCTGACGTGTTCCCAGGTGGATGGTGCCCCAGTACTGCGGCCTCCTAGCTTCTGCCGGCTGTCACCCTCTGGGGTGGGCAGTGGGGGCGCCATCCAGTTCCATTTTCCCACTGGCTGCCTGGGTGCGAGGTGCGTCCCCAGGGAAGCCAAGATGGGGGAGAACATGCAGTGGTAGTTGACCTGAGAGGTGAGAGCCGGGGCCACTGGTGGGCATCTGCTCCCTCTGAGCCCCTCACACTCCTCGCGGTGATAGGGCTTCTCTCTCAGAAGTCCTGGGAGTTGACTGGAGTCCTGCTGGCCCTATATCAGGTGGGGAGGAGCCCCTCAGAGCGCTTGGGCTGAGGGAGCAGCACTCAGTGCCTGTAGATGATGGGCTGGTGGTGCCAAGGCCGCGGCGGGGGCGGGCGGGGGTGGGGGGGAGAGGCGGGCCTAAGCGTTGCGGGAGTCCAGCCTGTGGCTGACGGTTGCTGTGCTCATGTCCAGGTGTGAGCATGAACGTCCAGCCCATGTACCTGGGGGAGAGCGCACCCAAGGAGCTCCGAGGGGCTGTGGCCATGACCTCAGCCATCTTCACCGCCCTGGGGATCGTGATGGGTCAGGTTGTTGGACTCAGGTAAGTGCTGCCCCCCCACCCCACGTGCACTGAGAGGTTTGAGGGATGCCAGGGAAAGCCCTTCTTCACCTAAATTTCTCTCCTACCCCCCCAAGTGGATTAAGGCGTTGCTTCCTTGTATGAAGGCATTGAAACCCTGTCCATGTGTACCTGGCCAGTGTGGTGTCAGTCAGACACACTTGGTGTGAGTCACCCTCTTCTCGCCTCTCTGGATCAGGGAGCAAAGAGGAGAGGGTGCAGGTCTGGGCTTTTAAAGGGAGCATGTCCTGTTTATCCCAGAAAAGGGAGGTGAGGGCAGAGCCCTGTGCCCTGGGAAGAGCCCTGGGGAGAGGAGTTGCCAGGGATGAGGTGGGGCTATGACCCTGTCCTATCGTGGGTTCCTACCTGGGTGTCCAGACCCAGAGCTGGTTGGGAAGAGGCACAGGGTAATGCAGACCCTCTGCCCTCAGGTTGGCCGGTAGGGGACAGAGCTCTGACAAGGAGGCACCTGGCCCAGCCTCTCCTCTGTCTCCCCAGGGAGCTCCTGGGTGGCCCGCAGGCCTGGCCCCTGCTGCTGGCCAGCTGCCTGGTGCCTGGGGTGCTCCAGCTGGCCTCCCTGCCCCTGCTCCCCGAGAGCCCACGCTACCTCCTCATTGATCGTGGAGACTCCGAGGCCTGTCTGGCAGGTGAGTCCCTGACCTCGGGCCCCCAGACCACCCTTGACCATGGGGCACATCTGGCCAGAGCATGTGGGTCCTTATTTCCTGGGTCGCATTTATTCAGGAAAAGCTATCCCTCTCTTTGTGCCTCAATTTCATGATCCATCCATCCCTTCAGAGCTCTTTATCAAGGGGCTGTCCTAAGCGCCAAGGCAGTGGGATGGAACAGACCCAGCCCCTGCCATCTGGGAACCCCCAGGGTGGTGCAGAGAAGGAGCGCCACCTGCCCCCTGCCTGACATGCAAGATGAAGAAACACTGAGTAAGACCTCAAGGGCCCAATGCCAGCTGGGCTGATGGTCTTCCCTGTTAGCTATGGCCACAATAATGATGCCGAAGGAACAATCCCCAAATCTCTGGCTTAAAGCACGCAATCCTTTACTGTGTCTTCTATCATTTACTTGCTGGGCTGTTTGCACGACCCTGCTGGTCTCAGTTGGGCTGGCTCATGGTGTCGGGGTCAGCTGGGGCTGGCCAGTTGAGGCTGGTCTGGGCTGGAGCAGTTCAGCTCTGCTGCACACGCTGCTCCTCGCACTCTTGGTACTGACAGACTAGCCCGGAAGGCAGATCCAACTGCACAAGCACTTTCCAAACCTTTGGTCCCTTCCTGCCCACTAACCTCCCATTAGCCAAGGAGAGTCACGTCACTGAACCCAAAGTCCAGAGATGGGAAAATCCATGGCATCTCCACTCATGTGGCAAGGGGCGAAGACCAGGGCCCACTAATGTATTCTTCCCAGCTTGCCATGGTGGCCACAGTTATTATTCATGTCGCTGCCCTGAGCAGGAACATGCTCAGTGCTATCCGGAAACACCCCCCACCCCCACCAAGTCTCACCCAATCATGGCATCAGGCTTGAAGTCCAGGGTCTTAAGATCATGTCAAGTCTATATATGCCTTTTCTTGAGCCAAAGACCCAGGAGATAAACAGAAGTCTTCCACCTCGTGTGCACTCAGCAGACACTGGTGAAAAAATGTTTTTCAAAAAAGAGGCAGCAAGGAGGCAGAAAGCAGTTGCCGATCCACAGCAATGCTGAGTGCCCCTGGGAAAACGGTGCCAGGTTCCCCTGCCCTGGGATGGAGAGTACTCCTGCATGAAGCCCTGGCTCTGCCCCCAGGGAGGGGCTCCCCAGGCCACTGAGAATCTGGGTGTGACGGTGGCACTTTGGAGTCATTTAACTGTAATATGACCGCACAAGACAATTCAGTGTTAAACAGCGATTATGTTATTCAGTGGAGTCCAGGCTGTTACATATAGAATCATAGACTGTCAGGACTAGAAATGGCCTTAGGGATCATTTTCTTCGGCACCCTCGTGGTACAGATTAGAAATGCCTAAAGGAAGACAGGGACTTAGTCAAGACTCTTCAGCTGTTCGGGAAGATTTAAGATCAGACTTTGAGCCTCCTGACATTATCACCTTCCTTTTCTATCACCTTCCTTGACACCTGAAGAGGGCCCTGGAAAATGTACCTATAGAAAACTGGGGCACAGAAGTCTTTACATTTCAAACCGTCTTGGTGTCTTTTCATCCAGGCCGGCAGAGCTTCTGTCAATACAACTTTCCCCAAAAATGATGTGAACTTTCTGTGCATTTGATTTATGTGCCAGAAAGCCACGCCCACAATTCTTGTCGAGACATGCTTCTCTCTTGCAACCTAATTACTGGAATCTAGGGCATGTCGAGCTGCAGAGGACCAATACCCTTAAGCCTCTGTAATGCCCGTTTTTCCAGCCCAGAGGGTCCATGAGGCACTGCAGGAAGCCATACCCTTGATTTGATCTTTACCCTCAGCCCAGGGCTCGCTGGCCTTGCTCTGGATTTAGTCTTTGCTCTCAGGCTGTGATTTAACTTAGGACTCTGCTAGATGGAGAAGCTAGAGATGAAAAACAGATTTCTTTTTCTTTTTTATTTAACTAACCTAGCAAGCTCTGAAATAAGTTAAATTGGATTAAATTGTGTTCCCTCTGAAGGTCTTTTTGAGCTCATTTTCCTTACAATCAGCTCAGAATACTCAGGTAAAGGCAGCTAGTTCATGCTTTCGACACTTGGAGATCTCTTTGCCCAAGTCCAGAAGTTCATTAGACCTGTTTTGTTTCTTGCACGTTACACGGGCTTTCATTCTTCCAATCTCCTCACCGTCCTCTGCCTGGTTAGGAACCAACACTGCATGTCATAGGTCCTAGTTATGGCGTCACCTACTCCCTTACCAGGGGTTTTTTTAGTCCGTTTTTTTTCTTGCTGCCTAACAGTCGCACCTCCGCGGGAGACCAAGGAAGCAATTACTTAGCCCAAGCCTCTGAGTTCTCGGGTTGGCTGATGAAGGTTAGGTCTGGCTGGAGGCTCTGTCACTGGTGTAGGTCAGCTGGGCATTGGCTGATCTAGGACGGTCCCAGCTGGGCCATCTCTGCTTTTTCCTGGGACCAGTGGGCCAGCCCCACCGCAAGTTTTTATGATGATGACAGAAGACCAAATAGAAACCAGCAGGTCTCTTGAGGCTGGATTGGAACACGCGGCACGCCCTCCTACAGCCTAATTCTACGGGCCAGAGCGAGTCGCAGGGCCGAGCCCAGCACCAAGGGGCGGATGTATACATGCCTCTTTAGTGGGAGCAACTGCCAAATCCCATGGCCCAGGGAGGGGTGAACTGAGACTGCAGTGGAGATCTGCCACAATTGTGTCCTGTGTGATGCACCCGCACAACCCCGAGTTTCTAAAGCCCTTTCTGCTCCGTGGTGCTGTGAACTGATCATCCCCATCAGACCAAGGGGACCCTGGGAAGGCGAAAGGAGGTGGGCGTGGGCAGCTCACTGTGGGGGCCACAGAGGGCCTGGGGGAGGGGAGCTCAGCGTCCTCTGCCCTGCCCCCTCCCCCAGCGCTGCAGCGGCTGCGGGGCCCCGCGGACCTGGCCGAGGAGCTGGCCGAGTTGGAGAGGGAGCGCGCCGCCTGCCAGGGCCGGCGCGCGCGGCGCCCGTGGGAGCTGTTCCGGGACCGCGCGCTGCGGAGGCAGGTGGCGAGCCTGGTGGTGCTGGGCGGGGCCCTGGAGCTGTGCGGGAACGACGCGGTGAGCAGTCCGGGCCAGGCCGGGGTTGGGGGGAGAGGGGAGGGGGAAGGGCCGGTGGGGAGGGCCGGTGCGCCTCGGCCTCTCGCCCCTCCCCCCCTCCCCCGCGGCAGGTGTACGCCTATGCGTCGGCAGTGTTCAGCCAGGCGCGGATTCCCATGGAGAAGGTCCAGTACGCCGCCATCGGGACCGGGGGCTGCGAGCTGCTGGCGGCGCTGCTCAGCGTGAGTCTGCCTCCGGGATGACACCTCATCCCCCAGCCCTGCGGCGGACCCTTGGGGGTGCTGGCCCTCGGGGTGCTGATCCTTGGGGTGCTGGCCCTCCGGGGACCGCAGGCCTCAGCGCTAAGCCACTTCCACTTCAGGTCGCTATGTTAAAATACGGCGAGTTAGCAAGCACTTATCGAGCATCTAGTTTGCCGGGCACTCCCACCACCATTTTGAGATGGGGAAACTGAATGAGGTTGAATGACTGAGGTCCTCTGAGAAGTTAATAATGTCTTAATCCACTGAAGCGGTAAATTGCTCTCGCGCCCGCCTCCCCAGCTTCCTCATGAGGCCCCTCCCCACTGCTGGCCCGCAAACCGAGGGGACCGCGACCGTGGCCCACACCAGTGAATCAGTGAGGGCTCCTTTCCTTTGCAGTGTGTGGTGATCGAGAGGGTGGGCCGACGGATGCTGCTGATGGTGGGGTACGGCCTGATGACCTGCTGGGGGACCGTCTTCACAGCGGCCCTGTGCCTGCAGGTAGCTGGGCGTAGATGAGGGTGGGGCGTCGGCCCTGTGCCTGCAGGTAGCAGGGCGTGGATGAGGGCCCGGCGGCTGGGCCCCGCCTGACCTCCCCTCACCACCACCCCACCCCCGCCCCTCTGCCGCAGAGCTCCCTCCCCTGGATGCCCTACCTGGCCATGTCCTGCGTCTTTGCCTTCATCCTCAGCTTTGGCATTGGCCCTGGTGAGTGGGAAGAGTTCCTGCCTTTGGGCCTGGCTGAAGGAGCACGGATGTCTGGGTGAAGGATGCTTGGGTATGCCCTCCCCCCACTGTACAGGCTTCTGGGAGGGAATGGCTGGAGGAGCGCTGGAAGGGCCCCACTTTCTTGTCTGGGGCAAGGTGGGGGGAAGGCCGGCCAGGGAGCCCTGGCTGGCAGCCTCCTGTCCCCACTCCTCCTTCCAGCCGGAGTGACCGGGATCCTGGCCACAGAGCTGTTTGACCAGATGGCCCGGCCTGCTGCCTACATGGTCTGCGGGACGCTCATGTGGACCATGCTCTTCCTAGTCGGGCTGGGGTTCCCCTTCATCATGGTACGCCTGCCCGCCCCTCCCTCCCGGGGGCCCTGCCGTAGGTTTTGCCCTTGTCAGCATGAGGACCCCAGGGGAGGCTCCATCCAGGAGGCGTGAGACTGAAGGGGATGGGGCTTATCTGAGCCAAGAGGGTCGAGTCCCTCATCAGGACCTGTGGTGGGGCCTTCCATGTGGGGGCTGAATGGGCCACACCAGATCTTGGGTCTCTTAACCCACAGGAGGGCTTGTCCCACTTCCTCTATGTTCCTTTCCTCTGTGTCTGTGTCTGTGGGGCCGTCTACACTGGCTTCTTCCTCCCTGAGACCAGAGGCAAGAGCTTCGTGGACATCTCAGAGGAATTGCACAGACTCAACTTCCCTGGGGTGGAGCCAGGGCCCCGCGTGGACAGGCGGGAGGTCATCCGGTCCACAGAACTCTAGCTCAGCAGGTTTGGCTGGGGCCCAGCCGGCCGCTGCTCTTCCCTCGGGCCCTCTCCATTCACCAGCCCTGCATCCCCTTGTTTAATGGGTGTTTGTTGAGCACCTACTGTGTGCAGGCCTGGTGTTTAGCCATCAGTGGTGAGCTGGACAGATGGGGTCTGGGACCTCTCGGTGCTCCCTGTCTGGAGGCAGTTAACAGGAAACCAATAAAAACACAATTACAAACTTGGGTGGACTTCCCTGGCAGTCCAGTGGTTAAGACTTCGCCTTCCAATTCAGGGGGTGCGTGTTTGATCCCTGCATGGGGAGCTAAGATCCCACATGCCTCGCAGCCAAAAAATCAAAACATGAAACAGAATAAATATTGTAACAAATTTTTAAAATTTTATTTATTTATTTATTTTTGGCTGCATTGGGTCTTCATTGTGGCGAGCAGGCTAGCGGTTCTAGCTGCGGTGAGCGGGGGCTACTCTTCATTGTGGTGCGTGGGCTTGTCATTGCGGTGGCTTCTCCTTGCGGAGCACAGGCTGTAGGCGTGCGGGCTTCAGTAGTTGTGGCATGTGGGCTCAGCAGTTGTGGCTCACGGGCTCTAGAGCGCAGGCTCAGTAGTTGTGGCGCATGGGCTCAGCTGCTCTGCGGCATGTGGGATCCTCCTGGACCAGGGCTCAAACCCGTGTCCCCTGCATTGGCAGGCAGATTCTTAACCACTGCACCATCAGGAAAGCCCTACTGTAACAAATTCAATAAAGACTTTAAAAAAGGTCTACATCAAAAAAATCTTAAAACAAAACAAAACAAACAAACTTGGGGAAATGAAGTGGAAGAAAATACAGCTTCTGAAGGGTGTGTATACCAAGGGGTGTTTGAGTGGGGAGTGGTCAGGGAAGGATTTTCTGAGGAATTGATTGCTAAAAATCAATTTTATTGAGGTATAATTTACATACAATAAAATGTATCCATATTAAGTTTACGTTTGATAAGTTTTGACAGGTGTACATATCCATGAACCGCCACCACCATCAAGGTAGACCGGCCACATCATCTCCAAAGTTCCATTGTGCCCCTTTGCAATCAATACCCTGCCCGACCCCAGGCCCTAGGCAACCGCGGACCTGCCTTCTGTCACTATTGGTCAGATTTCTTTTTCAGAATTTGATATAATTTCATACCACATGTATGCATTTGTGTCTGGCTTTGCTCCAGATAAAGTTTTTGAGGTTCATGCGTGTTGTTGCATGTATTAGCATATATCCCTTTGTATGGCTGAATAGTATTCCACTGTATGGATATACCATCATTTGTTAACCCATTTCCCTGCAGGTGGACATTTGGCTGTTTCTAATTGGTTGTTGTTTTTCTTAAAAATAAATTTATTTATTTTATTTATCTATCTTTGGCTGCATTAGGCCTTCGTTACTGCGCACAGGCTTTCTCTAGTTTCAGCAAGTGGGGGCTACTTTTTGCCATGGTGCGCGGACTTCTCATTGCGGCAGCTTCTCCTGTTGTGGAGCACGGGCTCTAGGCACGCGGGCTTCAGTAGTTGTGGTACGCGGGCTCTAGAGCGCAGGCTCAGTAGTTGTAGCACACGGGCTTAGCTGTTCCGCGGCATGTGGGATCTTTCCAGACCAGGGCTCGAACCCACGTCCTCTGCATTGGCAGGCGGATTCTTAACCACTGAGCCACCAGGGAAGCCCTGTTTCTAATTGTTGGCCATGATGAATAAAACTGTTATGAACATTCCTGCACAAGTTGTGTAGATGTATGCTTTCATTTCTTTGGGGGTAAATGAATTGCTGAGTTTAATAATGAATGTATCACTTTGTTATAAAGCAGAAACTAACACACCACTGTAAAGCAATTATACTCCAATAAAGATGTTAAAAAAAAATAATGAATGTATGCTTAACCGTAGCAGAAACTGTTTTCCAAAGTGCATATACTGTTTTACATTCCCGCTAGCAATTGATGAGACTTCTGGATGTTCCAAATCCTCGTCAGCATTTGGCACTGTCACTCTTCTTAATCTAGCCATTCCACTGAGTGTGTAGTGGCGTCTTGTGCTTTTATTGAGGTATTTCCCTGATGGCTAATAATGCTGAGCATCTCTTCGTGTGCTAATATGACCATTCACGTATCTTCTTTTGTGAAGACTCTGTTCAAGTCTTTTGCCCACATTTTTAAAAGAAGATTGTTTTTTAGAGTAGTTTTAATTTCACAGCAAAATTGAGAGAAAAGTACAGAGATTTCCCATATGCCCCCTGTCCCACACATGCACAGCCCCCTATTATCAACGTCCCCCACCAGAGCGGGACGTTTGTTACAATCCACGACCCTATGTTGACACGTCATTATCACACCCAAAGTCCACGGTTTACATTAGGGTTCACTCCTGTAGTTTTACATGCTGTGGGTTTGGACAAATGTATGACGACATGTATCCACCATGATAGTATCATGCAGAGTATTTTCCCTGTCCTAAAAATCCTCTCTGTTCTACATGGTCATCCCTTTCCTGCCCCTGCCCAGCGCCTGGTGACCACTTATCTTTCTATGGTCTCTACAATTTTGTTTTCTCCAGAATGTCATATAGTTGGAATCATAGAGTATGTAGCCTTTTCAGATTGGCTTCTTTCACTTAGTAATATGCATTTAAGTTTCTTCCATGTCTTTTCATTGCTTAATAGTTCTTTTTGCACTGAGTAAAATTCCATTGTCTGAATGTCCCAAAGTTTATTCACCTACTGAAGGACATTTTGGTTGCTTTTGGCAATCATGAATAAAGCTGCTATATACATCCATGTGCAGGTTTTTGTGTGGACATACATTTTCACCTCCTTTGGGTAAATACCAAGAAGCATGATTGCTGGATCGTAGGGTAAGGGTATGTTTAGTTTTGTAAGAACCTGCCAAACTCTCTTCCAAAGTGGCTATACCATTTTAATTCCCATCAGCACTGAATGAGAGTTCCTGTTGCTCCACATCCTCACCAACATTTGGTGTTGTCAGTGATTTTGGCCATTCTAATAAGTGTGTGGTGGTATTTTGTTGTAATTTGCACTTCCCAGATGACAAACATGGAACATCTTTTTGTATGCTAATTTGCCATCTGTATATATCTTCTTTGGTGAGTGTCTGTTAAAAGTGTTTTGGGACTTCCCTGGTGGTGCAGTGGTTAAGAATCCACCTGCCAATGCAGGGGACACGGGTTCGAGCCCTGGTCCGGGAAGATCCCACATGCTGTGGAGCAACTAAGCCCGTGTGCCACAACTACTGAGCCTGAGCTCTACAACCTGCAAGCCACTGAGCCCGCGTGCCACAACTACTGCAGCCTGTGTGCCTAGAGCCTGTGCTCGGCAGCAAAGAGAAGCCACCTCAATGAGAAGCCCGCACACTGCAACAAAGAGTAGCCCTCGCTTGCCGCAAATAGAGAAAGCCCGTGCACAGCAACGAAGACCCAACGCAGCCGATAAATAAATAAATTAATTTAAAAAAAAAACTGTTTGGCTGTTTTTAAAAATCACGTTGTTTGTCTTCTTATTGTTGAGTTTTAAGCGTTCTTTATATATTTTGGATAACAGTCTTTGACCAGATGCATCTTTTGCAGATATTTTCTCCCAGTCTGTGGTTTGCCTTTTCATTTTCTTGACAGTGCCTTCCACACAGCAGACGTTTTTATTATTTATTTATAAAATGTATATATATTTTTTAATAAATTTATTTATTTAATTTATTTTTGGTTGCATGGGGTCTTCGTTGCTGCATGCAGGCTTCCTCTAGTTGTGGCGAGCGGGGGCTACTCTTTGTTGCGGTGCACAGGCTTCTCATTGAGATGGCTTCTTTTGTTGTGGAGCACGGGCTCTAGGCACGTGGGCTTCAGTAGTTGTGGCTCGCGGGCTCTAGAGCGCAGGCTCAGTAGTTGTGGCACACGGGCTTAGTTGCCCCATGGCATCTGGGATCCTCCTGGACCAGGGCTCGAACCCATGTCTCCTGCATTGGCAGGTGGATTCTTAACAACTGCGCCACCAGGGAAGTCCCTGTATATATATTTTAAAGTCTTTCCTTTTTAAATTAATTTATTTTATTTTATTTATTTTTGGCTGCATGGGGTCTTCGTTGCTGTGTGGGTTATGTTTCGGTTTCTTGGCCTGGAGGCATGTGCGATCTTAGTTCCTGGACCAGAGATGGAACCCACACCCCCTGCATTGTAAGGCGAAGTCTCAACCACTGGACCACCAGGGAAGTCCCCAGATGTTTTTAATTTTAAAGAAGTTCAGCTTATGAATTCTTTCATGGATTGTGTTGTATCTAAAAACTGATCACCACATCCACAGTCATCTAGTGTCCACCATTTTTTTTTTTAAGCTGCGCTGCGTGGCTTGCAGGATCTCAGTTTCCTGACCAGGGATTGAACCCGGGCCCAGTGAAAGCGCCGAGTCCCAACCACTGGACCACCAGGGAATTCCCTTATTCATTTACTTTTAATGGATGTCCAGTGGTGCCGGCACTGTTTGTTGAAAAGACCATCTTTTCCCCATTGGACTACCTTGGCACTTAGGTCAAAAAAACAATTGATCATTGTTGTATCATAAAGAATTTGTCTGGCTTTCAGTAGGAAGCAGTAACCACCAAATCAGCAGAAGCGGCAAGCAGTAGGTTCTCTGGAGAGCAAGAACTCTTTGAGTCGGGGTCAGGAGAGGTCTCATGGAGAAGTCACCTGGAGCTGGCTTCCTGAGGACAGGCCCAGCTGGGGTTCCTGTGGAGGCAGGAGTGTTGAAGGATGGGACTGAAGGCCTGTGGGTCCGGTAAATGCGGAGCTTTCTGGAAGGCAGGTGTCAGCACTCTGGGAGCCCTCTGTGTTCTCCCAGCTTCTCTCTGCCACCTGCCCCATCTCCACCTCTGCTGACCCGCCTCCCCAGCTGCCCCCCACCCTCGGCACCAGTGGCCACCCTGGCCGCTACTGGCCCCTGGTGAAGATTAGTGAGAAAGGATCCATCCCTCGAAATCCCGTGGTGCACAGGCTGTGAGCAGGGCAGGTGTCAGGCTGTGTCCCAGGTCTGGGACTGCACTGGTCACACTTAGGTGCCCTGGTCCCCAGCACGGACCATAGTGATGCCCCCAGCCGGGCCTAGCCCTTGGGCCGTGTCCCACTTGCTGTCCACCCAGCCAAATTGGCTCTGAGAGTGTGGGGTGGGCGTTGCAAGTCCTTGTTGCCCAGGGAACCCCTCAGCAGGGCAAGGAAACAGGGACAGGGCCCCGCAGACAGGAGAGGCCGTGCCAGGAGAGGTGGGGGAGACGC